TTTTTTTCTACTCATTTTTTCTTTCATGAAGATAAAAGAAGAATATAAAAATGCACATGATAAACAGTGAGGGGCCAGGGATTTAGCTCAGTGGTTCTGGCGCCTGCCTTGCAAGCGCAAGGTCCCGAGTTCGATTCCCAGTACCAAAAAAAAAAGTGATAAATAGTGAGAAGAATCACAAAACCATGCTGATAAATTGGATTGGAGTGTTTTCCAAAGCACAGTGCATCTGCAGTAACCAAGCACTCAAAGGCAGCTACAAAAGTTGCTGGGATAACAGAATAATTAACATAAAAATGAAAACTCATTCTTTTTCTTAGAAAAATTCATCTAAGTATCAGGCAGATTTCTTTCTCATTAATTTGGATGATATGAAGCTTTCAGAAGTAGCCTCAACATTTTTCAATTCTTTTTTTAATCCCTTTCCTCTCCTTTCCTTCCCTCCCCTCCATCTCTAAGTCCCATTCCCATTCCCATTTGCAAAAGATCTGTCTCCCTAGCTCCTTTCATCTATATTTTATTTTGCTATTTATTTATTCACTTATGTTGTATGTGTCCATCATAAGAGAAACCATGCAATCTTCAAAACTTTGTTTCTTATTTATTTCACTTAACATTATTGTCTCAAGATATATCCATTTCCCTATGAATGACTTGAGTTTATCATTCTTTATGGCAGAGTAGTACTCCATTGTATTCAAATACTATATATATTTTTACCCATTTATTTCTTGATAGACATATAAGAAGCTTCCAAGATTCAGCTATTATGAGAAATGTGGCTACTATGTCCTTCAAACATGTACTAATGGAAAATAAAAATTTAAAAAAGTTACTTCTGAAATGGCTGCAGGATCTATGACATAATGTAATAAATAATTTTTGTTGTCATAAAGGACAGTTTATTTTCATTATTTATAAATTTAAATCTCATTTTAATAAAAATTGAAAAACAAAGTTTCAAACACCTTTTTTTCCAGTGGGACAAATATCTTTTATTCATCCTCTCTTATTCTGTATAAGATTGACATTAATCACAAAAGAGATTTTATTATACTATTTGATGGATTTACATCACAAATAGAAGCAGTCATAGAGACTCAATTGTGTTGGCAACAGCATCTTTGTTCGACTTTATGGTATGGTTTGGAATTCCTAGCAAATAACCTGAGAGTCAGTCACACATTTATATTCCATCAGTATTTTACTTCCGATACCAGAGATTTTTCATAGCATTTTTCATTTCTGAATTTCTCAGGGTGTATATTAAAGGATTCAGCATAGGAGTAATAACTGTAAAAACCACACTGATATATTTGTCAGCAGGAAAGGTAGAAACAGGTCTAACATAAACAAAAATACAGGGAACAAAAAAGAGGACAACCACGGTGATATGTGAGCCACAGGTAGAAAGGGCCTTGCGCCTCCCTCCCTGACCATGAGTTTTAAGAGCATTTAGGATGATTCCATAGGAGATGAGGAGAATGATGAAGATCACTGTACAGATAACTCCACCATTGGCCACCACCGTGAGGCCAATTAGGTAGGTGTCAGTGCATGCAAGCTCCAGCAATGGGTACATGTCACACATGAAATGATCCATGACATTGGGGCCACAGAAGGGGAGATTATACACAAACACAAGTTGAATCACAGAGTGTACAAAACCTCCAGCCCAAGACACTATCAAGAAAAGGATGCAAACACGTCGGTTCATGATGGTCAAATAATGCAGAGGCTTACAGATGGCCACATAGCGGTCATAGGCCATTGCCACCAGAAGGAAGACCTCAGCAGCAGCAAATAGGTGCTCTATAAAGAGCTGGATCATGCAGGCTGAGAAGGAAATGGTCTTCTTATCGCTGAGCAGGTCCATCAGCAACTTGGGTGAGTAGACAGTGGAATAAACAGCATCTATGAGTGACAGATATGTAAGGAAGAAGTACATTGGGGAGCCCAAGGAAGGGCTGGCAAGGACAGTCACCATGATGAGCAGGTTGCCCAGCATTGTTGCAATGTAGATGATTAAAAACATGACAAATAATGCTTTTTGTGCACTGGGATCCTGAGTGAGGCCCAGGAGGACAAATTCTGTGACATTGTTACTGTGCCCCATTCAGTCTTCTAGAAGCCTTGCTTCAGAGATGGAGCTCAAGGAAAAGTACCTGCCCAGAAACTGCGAATAGGACCATGGGTACCTTCTGTCATAGTGCACATCTTCCTCCTATGCCTTTTATAGTGGTGAGCACACAGCAATCATTTAGTTAATATAAATAATAATCATTTTATATCATCAATCATTAATATAAAAATAATCATTTTTCTATCTAAGAAGCCCAATAAACTTTTCTTGGTTATTCTATTTCTCCTCAGATGATTTTTTGGGTGAAGACCTACTGTTATTGGTTCTATCACTGTCATAGATGATAGTCTATAAAGAAGAGTAGTAAAAAACCCAATCACCGTTAACATATTTAATAACTCTCCTTATTAAATATGTCATGTCTTCACATAGAAGTCAGCAGTGATGAACAGGGAAAGTGTTCCTGATGCCAAGCATGTTCTCTCTAGTGGTCACAATAAATTCTAGACATGTGATCTAACATAGACTCAGTGACTTTAGTTCACAGTATTTGTGTGGAATCACACTACCATATGATCTATACGACACCAAAGACATAACCTCTTCTGCGATATTCAGCTGAATACTATTGCACCCTCCCACACTAGATGGTCAGTGTTTCATACATCAAAGAGCGTTCAGTCTTGTATCAAATAACTGCAAAATGATATAGCACATTGATGCCTGGAGCAATTACTCTACTAAATATGAATCCTGTCCATTTTACTTTTTCCTATACCAAGTACCTAGCAAATTAGTTTTTTTATCTTGATTGTCAGCAATTATTTGTAACAGAATTGAAGTAATTCATGCCTACAAACAAGCAATGCATTAAAAGCTGGTACTCTATTTGATTTTCAAGACTCTTAGAGTAAGCTAGAGAAAGGAGAAAAATAGAAAGTGAAAAGGGGTAGAGAATAGTGTGACATGGTGTTGTGTTTAAGACTCCCTATGTACTGAGGATGCTGAAAAAGAGAATTCAGAGTGCAGATTCAAAAAAGCAGTCTACTGGAGGGAGAAGTCCATCCTCACTCAGCTTGAAAAGGAATGGATTTGAGTGATTCTCTAAACATGACCACAGATACTTCTCAGCACATTGAAAAATGAAGGAGTTGAATTACAAGAGGTCAGAATGCTTTCCACTCCAATTATTCACAACACTAGTAGAGCAGGGCTACAGCTTCTTAGTCTGTTGATGTTTACTATTTTTCATATTTAATCAGTAAATAGCAATTTGCAAGCTTATTACTGTTACTTCAAAATTGCCAGGCTGCAGTAAATGAGATGCAATGTTGAGAGGGACCTAATAATGACTCTAAGTTTTCCATCCAGTGTCTACCTAAGCAGGACCCAAGAATCCTTGGAGAGAGGGAGGCACAGTCATTAGCACTGTGGCCGCTAGGCTGCAGTGCTGGTGTTGCAATCCCAGCTTAGTTCCCTACTGCCTCAGAGACACTGGGCAGCTTAATAAACATCCCTCTGCCTCCAGTTCCTCATCTTAGTGTGGGGATGCCTGCAACATCTACATTTTAAGGTTATTCTTATTACATGTAAAGTGTCCAGAACACTGTAGGACATCGGAGAAAATCTAAAAACTTATTTATTATTACTGTTTTTCACTGTTTCACTAGAAGCATTAATCTCTGACAATTTAATAAGAGCAATAGACATAGTGTAGGACACAAAACATAGTGTATTTATAACCATCACCCTTTTGGGGGCATAGATTAAAATTGTGTGTCTTAGGAATTTCCTATTTTATTATGTATCAGTATTAGCACTGCTTACCTGTGACGTATTGTGGCAGGAAGCAAGAGAATTCCACTCACATGGACGTGCTAGGAGAGGAAGATGTGTGCAGGAAGAGTCTGAGGTGTGCTTGAGGCTAGCTGTGAGGAACCTTCTTCAGTCTGTTCACAGCACTCCTCCCGCCTGATTCAGGAGATGAGCCACCGTGGAAGCTGTGGGCCAAATGACCGTGCCTGTTGAAGATAAAAAGGGTCTGTCCAGCGCTCTGATTTTCACAACTTACTTTCTGAAATGTTCACTCTCCTGAATTACCAGCTTCCATTTCAACAGAACAAATCTATTAGTCAGTTTCATTATCTATGTGTTAAAAATAAGGTACATATAGCATGCTCTGATCTATCATGCACGTCATGAAAAAACTGAGAGATACTATATAACTCATCTCTCAAGTTGAACTTTTAAAATTCTTCTAGAAAAACATTATCATAGGTTCTTAAATGTTATTTTGCTTCAAAACATAACATCATAGTAGCAAGAATGCTCTATATGGTACTTTATAATAACAGTTTTATAAAACTAAATGGCAGCAGGTGAGTTATTTCCTTCATCACTTATGTCTCTGTGTATAAGTCTGCACATGTTTGGTAGAATAATTTTAAGATTCACCCATAAAAGCCTACATAAACCATCAGAGCCAATAGACATTTATTCCATTATTTTCTAGTATATTTGATAAGATGTGTAATTTTATGTTTTCTAATAGAAATATATACCTGAAAGAAATTATATTTCTTTGTTAGCATACAATCAACATATAGTATCATAAGGTAAAAAATCCATTAGTTTGTTGTACATTCCATATGTATCACTTATCATTGACAATATGTAAAATAAAAACCTATCAAGTGTAAAACTAAAACAAATATAGTTTTCCTGCTCTAATGAATATTTGTGCTTTGCTGGCTTTGTCAGTCCAAGTCAGATACCTCTATGAGAGTGTAAGGCACTGGTGGATTTCCGTGCATCACACCCATTTTCAGCGAGTTTCCACTGTCAGTAGTTGTACGATCACAGTTTACATCCGTTCCTGTGTCTGGAAAGTCAAGGTTTCTTTCACTGAGGATAACTGCTGATGTCTCAGGTAGCTCCATGTGATTATAAAACATATGAATATGGGGAGGGGAAATCAGTGCATCTAGAAATAGTCACAACTGGTTACAGTTTCCATACTTCCAAATAGTCTTCCCATTTCCTCAGTCTCTCAAGAGAAATTTTAAATTGTATGAAGCAGATGCCTAAGATAAAAGACATTTAAATGACAGCATTTAGTGTATGAAAGTCATTGAATATTCTCACCTCTGGGAGATTTCCTTCATGGAAAAACAAACACTCTATGCTTGCATGACTATGTAAATTTGATCTAATCAGTGGAAATTAACCTAGCAACACCCATTATTTGGTAGAATAAAGAAAACTTTAAACAACACTAAAATTAGTTTTACAGAAGGTTCTCAAATATGATGATAAAATAAAAAACTTTACATGGAGGTTTACGATATTGTTCATTCACTTACCTATTAAGTTCTGTACCTAACAGAGCAAAAGCTGTTGTGCAGCGTCATGAGATTTATAGACACATAAAGACATTTCAATATGTTAATATTTATAATAGGAAGGTAGTTTAAAATTTTCACCTGCTGGGAAAATGACTTTATAGGAGAAGAAAGCTGGTATGTGTTCAACTATGTAAAAAGTTGACCTAACTAGTGGGAAATTTCATGGCTAAATGTATTATTTGATGGCCACATAAATAAAAAAATTCACAACACAAAAATTGGCTCTGTGATTTTTTCTATTTTCAATCACTTATGATAAAATAATAACAAAGCGCTTTGCTTTCAGAGTTTCCAGTGACATTCATGTGCCTGATCGATAAGCCTTGTACCCGACAAGGAAAAGGCTGGGATTCCAATTTTTGAAACAATCATGATGAAGGTTTTTTTCTCATAAGTAGAAGCAGAACTCTTTGGTTTTCATTCAAGTGGCATTTTCCTGAGACCCCTTTCCTTCCCCATTAAAAACATATCCATTTATCTCCCAAATTCATCCTAAGAAACCTAGTTATCCCACTGACTTCTAAAAACAACGATGATATAAGAAGAAAGCACCATACCTCCAGGACCTGATATCAGCTGAATACATGCTCCAGCTGGGGCAGAATTTGAGTTTTTGGAAACCTCCTGGGTCATTCTAACAGGAGAGTAATTATTCCATTTACACATGCAGATACAGTTGATGGTGTTTTTCCATCACCACTATTTTTAATAGATGCATTTGTTAGAATATTTGGAACAGATCCAAGTGAAGTCATCTTCCCGAACAGGTTTCCTCCTGTGATAATCCCTAGAGGATAAAGACAGGTTTTGCCAGGAAAGGGTAGCTGACTGCCAAGTGATATGAAAACTTCTGATGTGAAAAGACTCCAAAGTGTAACGATTAAGAAATGAGTCGAAATATTTAGTGATGACAAACAATATTTTAAAACAGCAATGAAATGGCCACAGATTCCTCACTGAGTTGCACCCCAGCCAAGGCACCATGACTTTGAAGCCCTGCAAGTCCGTTTTGTGTCTCTTCTCTCAAAAGTATGGAATATTTCTAAAAGCCATAAATGAATACCTGAAAATCTGAGAGCAAGTTTCAATAGTTCCTTTATCATGAGAGAAAACAAATCAAATTAGTGGTTTGCCAAGAAGAATATCCTTTGTAAACAAGCAGGCTTTCTCCTGAGAGCATAAAAGGGCTTATTCTTGAAGTAGAACTAGTAAAAATTATAATAATAGTCCAAGGAACTCAAAATCAGCTTGATTCATCTAAATTTTATTGAATTAAAGTTAATTGTGTATTTTACTTCTCCAATATGTCCATATTTTAAAAAATAAATTTTATTGGTACCTTCTAGGTATGCAATATAATGCATTCATCATTGGAAATTTGCACCTTTACATAATCCATCTTGGCTCTTATTTTTTTCCCATTCCCCTGCCCTCCCTTCAACCCCTCCATCCTTCCCTATTTACAAAGACTTTGTGTCCTTTGTTTCATTTTCTCATATTAATTCCATTCCCTTCTTTCCTTTCTTCTACCCCTCCCAATTTCCTTTCCCCTTTGCACCTTTTCTTCCTATTTCACGTTATCTATTATACCTTTTAGTCCTTATTTACCCTTTTAGTTTCTCACACTACGGA